TCCTTGGAGAACTGAAATTTAACTTGTGTCACCATTGATTTGATGTCATCTTCCTGGTCAGCACCCTTTCCAGCATATTATTCCTCTATTTGACTCACAAACAGGCACCAGAGAAGCATATGGCACCTTGAACTCGAGATTACATACTGTTAGAAGCCAGTGTCTTCAGAATCTGAGTCTGGAGAAAAGCAATGGAGGGGACCAGGGCCTAATATTTTTAAACAAAATGCTGTAGCAGCATGTTCTACCTCCATCATACACCTTTCTCAGGTGATACTATGATAAGTAATATTGGCTAGAACATAAGAAGGAGAAGTAATTCGAGGCAGTACTCAGCAGCAAGAATGCGAAGTAGTGAGGGCAGGGGAAGAGGGGACTGAGACTACACTGGAACTGGGGCAAGAGAGGTCTATAGTAACTGGGCCATGCGGGACACTTATGTGGACGTTCAGGTGGGCAAGGTTATGGCTTTCTCTTAAGCTTGATTGTCATTAAAGTCAGACTGTAACAAAAAAAAATGCCATTGATGGGCATGGTGATGCACACCTGTAATCTCAGCACTCAGGATGCTGAGGTAAGAGGATAACCATGAGTACAAGGCTAGCCTGGATTACATAGTGAGTTGAGACTAGCCTGACCTACATAGTGAGACCCTGTCTCAAAAAAAAATCCCACAAAATAACATGATCAGGAATCTAGCTGTGGCCCAGAACAGAGCCTACATATTCCCATGAGAATGTTGACTGATGTGTTTTCATGCAATTAAAAATTTCTTGATGATTCTAATAAGGGCTTGTAATGCGCGCGCGCGCACACACACACACACACACACAAACACACACACACCTACCTCAAAATATTTGCCCTTTGGAGGCCGGGGATTTAGCTCAGTGGTTTCGCCGCCTGCTGCGCAAGCGCAAAGACCCGAGTTCAATCCCCGGTACCAAAAAAAAAAAAAAAGATATTTGGCCTTTGAGGTCCAGACTCAGGTTATGAGACAAAGTTTTACATAATCTGAATCCTTCCTGTAGTTCAACAATAAATAAAACAGGGTCCTCAACCTGCAGGAACTGACGGAATATAACTCTAACCTAAGCATTACAAAACGAAAGGACAGAGACTTTATTGCAGAAGCAAGAAAATGGTAAGGATTAATTCTACACAGGATACTTGGAAGGGCTAGAATGAATTCCAGGTGAGTAGTAGGAGTCGCACCCAGGAAGAGCAGACAGAGGGAATGGCTCCATCTCAGGCCTTGAGATGAGCAAGGACAGAAATGTATTCACACTGGATGTTCTTGCTTACAAAAGCATTTAGTGTCATAATCTCAAGGCAAGGTAATAGCACACTCTTAAAAAGTAAGGTTCTTAGCATTTTCCTTTCCAAAAAAGATAAAAATGTGATTTTTAGGTAATAAACCTGCCTATACACATGGTCTGGGACCTTGGTAGATGAAGGGTGAGACATACTCAGAAGCATCAAAGAACCAGGATACATGGGAGTCCAGTCCATAATTGGCCAAGAAGATGGAAGTGAAGGCCAGAACATTCAAATTGCTTTGGGGCAAATGAGCTATGAACAGGTTGGGACATATCTCAGAGGTGCCAGACACCAGTAGGCGTTCAATAAATGCTTGTTGAATGAATGGCCCCTACACTGTGCATACGCTTTGCCATGATAACCTGTGCCAAGAATACTGTTAAAAATTCATTGGTTCTGTCACCCTAATTTAGTGACTCAGCTTCTGTCCTTCCCACCCACATGCAAGCAGAGCCCAGAAACTTCACAGTCCTAAGCTAGAAAATATGTATTTTTAAAATTTATTTTTTAATATTTAAAAAACTTTCCAAGCTGTGAGTCCCAAGCATACCAAGCAATACCCTCCATTCAAGCTCCAGCTCTGTCTCACTTTCTAAGTCACAGAGAGAAGCATGAAGATACATCACTCTAGAGAGCTATACTCTTTGAATCAAAAACGATTTAAAAGTACCTAGCATACTGAGAACTGTAAAACTGTTTTCTATGTATACATCCTTAAAGGTCTATGTGCATAAATTAGTTTCCCATAATGCTGCAGAACTCTAATTATTTTTTAATTTACACAAATATATGCAATTAAAGTGCAATTATAATGCAATTAAAATTCCAATGTAATTAAAATGCAAAAAGAAGAAAACTTATAAATCTGTTCATGAATCTCTTTTATTTCTTTTTGAGTTCCATTAATGTCACTTATGATTTACACATTGTGAAGAATCTTATTTCAGTTTATAAAGCTATCCCATCAATCCGTGCACCTTAGCATGTCAAGTCTCATCTAGATCCACAGGGTATATCTTAGGACAAAGGCTGAAATAGAACTGGCCCAAACTGGCCAGACTTGACAAAAGAAGGGGAGAAAATTGAATGCCTACCTTACAGAGAGGTGAAAAATGCACACAAAATTCAGGTTTTCAATTTTTTTTTAATGGTGGCAGGATATATTTACATATTTCCCCTATAAGAGTTATGACCCTCTTTACCCAAACATCTCTTTAGGTAAAGACACTCCATTAGTACAGACTAATCTGTGGCGCCAGCTGTACACAGCAGTCTTTTTTTTTTAAGTTGGAGATGGCTTCCTAAAGAGCTCTATCTTTTTTAATCCTTTTATAGATAGAATCTTTCATTGGAAAAGGAGCAGGGGAACAAGCAACTAGCAGTCCAGTGACAAGCTAGAAACTCAAACATAAAACGCTGGATTTGATTAAATTATTTTTCATATAACAAACATTTATTGAGCACTTCTAGGCTCTAGTTATATAGAATAGCATGTGCTTCTGGTCCTCTGGGAAATCGTGGTTAGGAGGAAAGAAGAGATATGTAAAAGTTTCACTGCTATATGATGGGATAAATGTTACAGCGGTCACATAATTTAGAAGATACAGAAAAATGACTAATAATAAAGAGCTCTTCAGGAAAGAGAAAGCATTTAAGCTGTGTCTGCATGGAGCGGTGGTTTTTGTTGCCTAGTGGAGGGTTTGCTATTGCAGTGACTGGAGTACAATGGCATTTCATGGATTCAGGTCAGGGATACCGACCATTCTTATCTAGGGGCAGCTTCCCACCCAAATAATTTTCCTGCTTTTCACATCAAATGTGGTGCCAAGCATTCAAAAACTAAAAAAACTGTATAAATATCTGAGCTTAGAAGGTAATTCAGCTTTTTATATAAACCACAAAAGCAATGTTCTGTTTTCTTTGGGCTTGGGCACAATTCTAATATCCAGGAATTTTTTATTTTCCAGGAATATTTACATTCTTACATAAACATATCAATGTATATTTATTCTTTTGATATAGGGAAGACCTTTTTTCTTCAGTATTTGTCTTCTGATAAGAGTCCTACATCATTTTTCTAATTCTTAAAACAACAGTGGGACCAGAAGGACAACTTTTAATTAAGATGTTCCCCAAATCTCTAGGGCTTCCCTCACATCTTGTTTCTCTAGAATAGCTCTGTGCATGTTTGTGAGTTTCTCTGGGATGTGAAATGCTGCACAGTACACAGGTCTATAGTGTGTACAATGCAATGGCCCTAGCACATACCTACAAGTGAAACTGTTAGGTCATAGAGTTGGCATGTCTCCAACTTTACTTGATATTTCCAACTAGTTATTCAGAATGGCCATCCTATTTATCCTACCAGCAATGTTCCCACAACCCTACTAACTCTCGGGGTTATTAGACTTTAATTTTTGTTAATCTCACTGATAACAATTTCTTGCTTTATCGGCTATCACTATTCTCTCTTGGTGTCTACCCTGTAAGGCAGGTAAGACAAAGATGGACTGATTGGGGCTGGTATTTTTGATCTCTAATTTTCAAGGCTGATTATTTTTCAGCTAGGTCTTATTTTTGGAGAAAGAAGGAATTAAATATTTAGTGCTTTATTCAGAGCTATAGAATATGGTAAACTCTTTAAACAGAACTTGCATATTCTCTGAGGAAAATCTACTTGAATATTGTATTGCTTGAATATTGTATTGCACAAGAATTCTTGATGTATCTTTACAAAATAGTTGGAGTCCTTTCTCAAAAAATTCCAAACAAAAATACTCCACTGAGGGGCCGGGGATTTAGCTCAGTGGTTCCACCTCCTGCCTGGCAAGCACAAGGACCTGAGTCCAATCCCCGGTACCAAAAACAAAAAAGAATCAAAAATACTCCACTGGGATATGATGTAGCACCTGTAGCTTCAATGTCTTGTCCAAATTGCAGAGCTAGGTTGGAGAGAGCCGGTGTCAAACTATCCACTATCACCATCTCATTGCATGCAAACCAATAGTTCTAGATTTCCACTATGTCTTTGTCAATTAAAATCTTAGCATCACAGTGATACCAGTCATGGCACACCCTGTGTGAGCATGAATCTCTATAATTTTGTGGAATCCTGCTGGATTCCATAAGTTCTGGAATGGTAATATTCTCTTTCCTAACTGGCATACATCTTGTGATGTCTGGGTCTTAAGGACCATAGGCTAAGCTTTAAAAACCTCAGTAGCATACACTATTTGGAATAAACTACTTCACTGTGTAATCATGCCATATGAAGAACATGAAAACAGGAGAAGGAAGAGAAATTGCTATGTATGAGTTCATTAGCTAACACAGCTATATTGGCCTGAAATTGAAATGTACTAAACTAAGCCAGGCATAGTAGAACACACTTGTAATTCCAGCACTCTGGGAAGCTGAGACAGGACAGAAAGTTAAAGCCCAGCATGAGTGGCTTATGGTAGTGACCTAATGAGACCCTGTCTCAAAATTTAAAATAGTAGTAATAATAAAAAGATCTGGAAATTTAGCTCAGTGTAAAGGTCCTGAGTTCAATCCCCAGTATTGCACACAAAAAAGAAAGAAACCAAAAAACTAAACTACATATATCAGTCAGTGGTTACTAGAAAAACAGATTTAATGCAAGACATATAAATATATAAGAATTTACAAGATTGGCTTACAGTGGCTGCCCACAGTCAGGTGCAGAAGAGTGTAAAAGTCCAAACAGTCCAAACAGTGGAGATCCAAAGGATCCAATTGAAGGCCTGGAGCTCACTGTACTCCCGTGTGAGTCAGTACCAGCATGCTGAAGGGTCTGTGCTGGAAGCCAGGAGTCCCAGTTGTCCAAGGTGAAGGTGAAGACAGGAACGCGTCCCAAGAAATAGAAGCCAGCCTTCCTTCTTCATTTCCCTTTTAGTCACATCTCCACTCACACCCGGGGTGGGTCTTTTGTCATCAGTAAATCCCTTCAGCCACACCCAGAACTATGCTGATTGATGTAGTTGGGCGTTTCTTACTTAAATTGACATAATCAGTTAACTATCACACTACACTAAGCAGTTCCCTTGCAATTTATTCATTGCTTCCTCCTCCCTTGTAACTAGAATAGCATTCCTAGGATTTCTATTTGATTCATTTGCAGACATGTTTGGTTTTTCATTGTATCTGATTTTTTATTATTTTAATGCTTTCTTTTTGTATTTATCCTTTCCATTGAGCATTTATTATCTGAAAGTTTGTATAACCAATTCTCCTATTTGTTGTGCCAAGTGACTCATTCATGGTATCCCATTTCCTCATCTATTTTGCAACGTTGGATTGTGGACTGATCTTCAGCAAGTTTTGTTCTACTAAAATCTTCTGCCATGGGGGTGAATGTGTATCTCTGCCACAGGGGTTGTGTATCTCCAAAGTGGTTTTACCTTTGCCTCTGTGCTGTACCCAATGGAAGTCATCCACTCACAGCAATTTTTATTGAATTCAGTGGCTATATGCTCACACCATGTGGATGTTCAAATTTCAAATCCTGGGTTTCAGGTTCTCAGAGATTTTTCTTTTTTTTTTTTTTTTTCCTTCACTCACAAACACACACTTTCTCATCATCCCGCTATGTTGTGATGTGGATTATTTTTTATTCCACCTTTGTGCAGAAAGTGCAGGCTTTCAAAAGTTAGGCTCTAGGATAGTTTTTGTTCACACTGTGGCTATAAAGGATCAACTCTCCTTTCCTTTCCCTTGTAGGTACTCAAGCTTTCCTGTCAAACCTCCAGGGAAGCTTAGCATTGGCTACAATTCATACTTCTTTAATTTACAGCTCCCTCTTTGTCCCTGGGACCTAAAGCTTTCCATTTCCTCATAAATAGAGTTATACATTTCTAAGAATTTCTATTGTATTCTATTTAACATGAATACAAACTCAGAAGGATTTTCAGGCTGCTTTCTTTTCCAGATTGCTAGCATTAGAAATTTTCATTTTTTATTTCTTACATACAATTTTCTCTTTACACTAATATTTCAAAGCTTTACATTCCCTTCATTTAAATTTTGTGATTACAATAACAAGTTTAATTGAAATAAAAAGATTTGGAAACATGCATACACATATGCCTGATTCTTTGTAAGCATACAATTCAACTGAGGAAGACTTTTTGTTTTTTTAACTTTGAGATAAGATCTTACTAGGTCACTAAGTTTTCTAGGTTAGGCTTGAGTTTTAAATGAGAAAACATATAAAACATTGTGTGTAAAGTTTAACACAAATGTAACATATTTTCCTCTTATTGCAGCATCTATAAAATCTTGCTCAAAACACTAGAGGTTACTGAAGCAGTGTAAGCATCCTAACATTTATATATCTGTAAGATCTTCAGCCACTGTACAGGTTTTGTAGATGGTTTTGCATGGAACACTTGTCCTCCCTGGACTGTCACCTCTATAGCATCTGTTAACCTCAATTATACCCTCTCCAAAGAGGTTTATCTCTGCTGTGGTGATGCTGAGGAAGGAAGAATGCTGTGATAAATATGTCACTCCCTATGTCCTCCACTTCAACCCTACTGATAAGGCTGATCCCTAGGTTTGCCATTCTTATTTTCTTTAGAGTTCTTTTTACCCTTAGTAGTTGTGCCTTATTGGTAGTTAATAACTCTTCATATTAAGCTTTATCTGTTCTAATTACTGTGTTGGTTCTGACTCCAACACACTGCACACACTGAAATTTGAGGGCCACTGTGTTACATCACAAAATTATCTGTCTCCAGTTATTTTTCACCAAAAGTAAATGAATGACTCCAGTGATTATATAAATACCTATTCCTAAAATATTGAGAATCAGAATATCAAAAATGACAGAATACCAGAAATTTACGTGCTCAAGTAACTATTTTCTCAGGGAAATTCTGACATATAATCACATATTATGTACTTTTGTGACTATATATGTAATCTACATGTGTGCTGATATTTTTCTTATCATAAACTAAAAAAACCTGACTAAATGGGGAAGGAAGATATGATGATTCAAAACAAAATTAATCATCTATAGAACTAAGAGATAATGTTCATATTCAAAGGTGTTTGAAATGCATTATAGTTATTCACTTAAGATTTCCATTTTAGTCATGAAATGAATGCAAAGGTCAGAAAAAGAATTTTTTTAATAAATGCTTTATAAAAGGAATGCCCTTTTCTAAAAGAAGCACATGATCTCACACATGAACCATTGTACCCACTTTGTAGTGAGATAAATACAGCTCACAGCTGGAAATTCAACCTTAATTTGCCTATTGAATTGACATAAAAACATCTTTTCAAGCAAACTGACTTGTCAGTGCTAAAGTTTCTGCTCTTTGGTGAATATATTTCTCTTTTCATTTTGTTTGTTTTTACACTGCTGCAGATTAATCCTAGGGTCTTGTGAATGTACTGTACCATTGAGCTACATCATCAGCCTTCACTGAATGTATTTCTCATAAAAGACCAGGGTGTTCAACAGAAAGTCCAGGAAACAAAACAGCGATTGAACATCAAAGATATAGGTCACAAAGTTTCAAAACTTTAACTTTTCTTTATCAGAATCTAAATTTTCACAAGGCCTTGTGAATTCTTCTTCCTAAAGGGAGTCAATTTCAAATATCACTCTTAATCCAGAACCTTGAAAAGTTTTGAATCCTTTAAGGAACATTCCTAATAATAGATCCCTCAAAACATAAACCTCATGAAGGTATTTCCATCTATAAGATATTTCCTTGACACTGACATTTATGTGAATGTCTTTAAACTCGACACTGTCCAGTATGAGAAAAATGACTAAAAAGTGATAGGTTTCTCTTGGCAGGACCATAGCAATACATTCAGAAGATTTGGAGGCCCCTGTAACTCTCAGTGTCAAACCAAAATGCCAACTTCTTCCCGTCTTTTTAGTATATAAATTTTGATTAATGTTATAAAATGCACAACCTTAAGATTTTTGTTCCTTCTTCTTACTTTTTAAAATTTTAGTTACTTTGATGCTCTATCATCTATGTAGAATTATCATAACAAGATCTCAGCCTCTGAATTTTCCAGTGGTGTATACATGGAACCCACTTCTCTTGTCAAACTACTCAATGTCTGACATTTTGCATCTCACAGTATTCACCTTCCTCCTCATTTATATTGTAGTTGCACTCATCCTGCTACCCATTATTCTCCTTGCTTATTCACTTACATTGTGATTGGTTGTTCTTGACTTCTCAGCTGTTGATGCCAAACACTTCAAATCCTATAAATATATCTGGAGCCAAAAGGATCATGCTCATTGGTTTTCAAGCATTCCATTGATTTCAGTTGCTTAAACACAGAGTATGTTCTTTTTCTTTTCAGAAAAAAATCTGTCCTGCTTTTTTAAGAACTACCTGGCAACCTTAGTAGAATTTTAGACACATACATTTGTATGGGAAACCACAAATCTGAATATCTAATTCATATCCTCAAAGTGCAAACTTAATGTCTAGCTACTTGCTCCTACAGAGGGTTTCCAAATGTTCTTCTTGATCTTGACTTGAAAGGCAAAGATGGGAAAAGTTTCATTAGAAGACCCAGTGATGAAACAAAACTTAGTGAGCTTTTGTTGGTCACTCCTGGTTGTTAGAATGTTCTAATTTCTCATCTTCCTGAACTTGAATCCTCTGAACCTGTGTTTGTCAAATGTTAATGTGCACTCTATAATCCCCTAAGAAATTTTTAAAAGACAGATTCTGATGCAATAGGTCTGAGGTGGATCCCAAATTCTGTGTTTCTAACAAGCTCCTAGGCCCCACACTTTGAGCAGGCCGGCCCTAAGGTTACATAAAGCAAATGAATCAAAAGAAGATTCATGTTGGGCCGGGGATTTAGCTCAGTGGTGTCATGTCTGCCTGGCAAGTGCAAGGTACTGAGTTCGATTCCTGGTACAAAAAAAAAAGATTCACGTGCACTTCTAACAAAAGGGCTTTGAGAGTAAATAAGTTTGTAAGAAGAAAGCCCTCTTTTCTGATAAAGTGACTTGCAAGATTGATTTGTGGAAAATAAGAATCGGGGAAAAGTCACTAGAAGAATGAATCTGAGTCCCAAGAAAGAATTGCTATAATGTGCATCTGAATCTGCCTATTCAGGTAACATCTGGAGACTAACTTGCCTTCTGCTACATCCTTACACAAGAGTAGGGAAATTTGCCATCATGGTTATTATCAGAAACATCCTGAGGATCAAAGATGCATAGAGAATGAATTTGCTGCACTTTCAAATACAAGGTAGATTAGAGGAGTGGTAGAAGTTAGTGCCATTTTTGGGGGGGTCCACTGCATCCTTAATAAATAATCCCTTTACAAGGCACTTGGTATTGTGTGCTCAATTCTATTAACCAAGATAGGAAATGTAGGAACAGCTATCAGGCAGGAAAAGTGATCTGGAAAATCAACTTTCAATTTTCCCTTTCACCACAAAAGTGCAGGGTGTACTAACCCTTCCTTTCCCTGGGGCAAATAGAGTCATAGCTGATCTCTAGACCAACTGAGGGGTGGGGCTGAGTCCTGAGAATAACAAAGGGAGCCTTGGAGCACTTGATCCTCAAAGGAATCCCTACCTCAGTTAAATGGAACCATCTTTATTGGAGGCCTCTGTGGGCTGCAAGAGCCAGGGAAATTTTTCCCTACTGGGAGAAGGCTGCTGTATCCTGTGCCCACATGATAGCACCTGGTTTTGTTTTTTGGGGTTTGTGTGTGTGTATGTGTGTGTGTGTGTGTGTGTGTGTGTGTGTGTCCTTCATTCAGCTGTGAGATTATGTCCAGCATAGCATGTATTCAATAAATTGTTATTATTTTATTGATATTGTTGTAAGCATTATTTCTAAATACTCCTTATGAGCTCTTGCCCAGTATTTTCAAGTGCCTGTAATTCTTTCTCCCTTCAT